CCTACACACTTTGTGCTGTACCATTTATTAAGCCTTAGAACAGATCAAGGATTTTTTTCAGGCGGGATATCAAAACTTCATAAATTGAATAATAATTTTAATTTGGACAAGAAGTTAACCCAAACGCCCAAATTGAAAGAGAAACTAGAGGTATTGTGAGCAATGAGCTCACTAAATGATACCCCGCCTCCCATATGGTTATAATGGCAAAGTCCATATTTTGCTGTTGTCGCTAAACCCAAAATACGATTCGGATCAAAAAGTAAAATAGGAGGTGCATAATGGTAATATGTAATAAACCTAAGATTCTGTGAAAGTTTCATTAAATTTCACTAAGTGGTATAAGAGGATTTGCGGATAAGAGATGGGTACCCCAAAGCGTAAGAGACAGACGGACATACATAACGATTACTATATACCCTCCCACTTTTCAAGCGGCGGATATAATAAACGTAAAATATACATCACAGGAATAGGAACATTGGAACTATCTTCTCAAACGCATTGGCGTCGGAAGCAGATCGAAAGTGGGGGGGGGGGGGTTATAAGTGCAAAGAAATTTTTTTTATACATTCGAAAAAATCTGACAAGCTAAAAAAAAAAAACAACAGAATGTCCTTTTCCAAAACATGAATGGAGGGTTGGGTGGGTGAACTTCAGTAACTGCGACTTGTCTGTGGAAAGTGGGGGGGGGGGGGGGCTAAACCAACGCAGCAATGTTCAATGTCTATACTAATTATTTATTTGTAAAAAAAAAAAAAAAAAAAAAGCCACACCCCCCGGTTCCGACGCCTATGCTCAAACGTACCTGTCGAACCTGGACCTGGACAACAGACAAGAGAATTTTTAAAAAGATAATTGTATGTAGAATGATGAATTCTCACGGGGGATTTGCTCTCTCTCTCTCTCTATATATATATATATGTTTTTTCTAATAATCATTAATTATTTATGTCTAGAAATTTAATTCACATTAAATTCTATTTTCATTATCATTGTACCACAGAATCAAACTCGCAAAAAGTTGCGTGAGGTATAATGTTTTTCATCCGTCAGTCAATCCCTTATTTTTTTGGTCAGCGCAACTTCTCATAAACCACTGCACAGAGTTTTGTCGAACTTTGCAGATATTTATAGGAGACAATGTGTGTTTAGATTTGCACATCACTAGGAAATTCCGAATTCTTTACTTTTTCGGGAATTTCTGCAATTTTACATTTAGATTTTGGCCATATCTTGAATATAGAGATGAGCAATTTGTCAGCGCAATTCCTCATAAACCGCTGCACACAATTTCGTCAAACTTTGCAGATATTTAGGACACAATGTGTATACGAGATGTGCATATTACAAGGAAATTACGATTCCTTTATTTTTTTCTGGGAATTTCAGCACTTCGACTTTTGGGGGAGCGTGGGGTATGTGAACTTGCTCACTTTTTCTTTCATTGTGCATAAAATTATAAATAACTTTTAATCAAATTATATTAGGTCTAATAAAGCCAAGAGAGTGTTAATATGCATGTTTTATTACACCCCCACCTCCTATCACAGGAAAATATCTTCAAAAAGTTAATGATTCGTAATAATGATGCCTTATTATAAATTTAATGAAGCTAAACCATGTAATCATAAATATTATTTACAACATTTACAGACAAGAGTAATGTTTATTTTTGAAAAAAAAAATTACTTGCATTTTTTTTTCAATCAACCCCACTGAGCTTTCAACTTTTGATATTTTCCCTGACCAAATAAAATGATCGGCATGGGCCACGTGTGTCCAAGCATCTTTTACTGTTGAGTTAGCAATGGATTACATGACTTCTGAGATGCATTTTTCAATAAAAGTAAAATAGGATAATTCTTTCGACACGTGCACATCCCTGTAACGATAGCAGTATTCAGGTAAATGTTTTATTACTGCGTTTGACGCGTTTTCTCGACCTGCATGGATTTTTGCTGTACATGAATGTATTCTGTGTTAGTGTATTTTCTATATTGCAGCAAAATGCATTCAAAAACAATTTAATTCTCGGTATACTTCTATTTTTTTTTGTTGAATTCTCACTTTTCAAACGTGTATTTGGTCAGTTTATGGACTTCTACAAACAATGCTATCGGAGATGTGTACATGTCGACAGCCAGGCTAGAAAATCACTCGAGCGAAACAATTCCACAAGGCTATATATTGCAGGTACAGGTGGCCAAAAATCTTTGATTAAATATGGCGGAATTGAAGAAACATGGCGGACAAGGGCGTACAGGAATGTATTAAGTCGTACAAAGATGAAAACTGATGCCTTTTTAAGAGTTCATGTCAGCTTTAAAAATAAAACCTAAACAAAATCTGTAGCGTTGTAGTTGTTCATTTAGACTCGCGTTCGTTGTTTACGAATTGTATCACATGACTTCATGAATATTAATGAAATACGTCAGCTTTGCTGTGACGTCAAAAAATCAGCTGTGTTTGTAAATATGCCATTGAAATTGAAAGATATTTATATGAAATGTTTTGATCTGACAACTTTGATTCGCTGGTTGATTGAATTGTGTGTTCTAATTGATCTGGAAGGACTTATTTGTGGTAAGTGTGGATCGGGAAAATTTGGACTAAGGAAAGATTTAAGTTATTCGAGTGATCAACATGTGTGGAGATGTTCCAACAAACAGTGCCACAAAAAGGTATCTATAAGAATAGGAAGCTGGTTTGAAAATCACAAATTAACATTGGAAAAAGTAGTTCTAATTACATACTTTTGGGTATACAAGGCCAGCGAATCTTTCGTCCGTCATGAGTTAGACATAGCGTGTCAGACTGTCGTAGACTGGTTTAACTATTCACAGGAAGTGTGTACCTGCATATTAGAGAAGGATTCAGAGAAAATAGGAGGCCCAGGAAAAGTTGTAGAAATTGACGAATCAAAATTTGGGAAACGGAAGTTCCATAAGGGAAGAAGAGTTGACGGTGTCTGGGTTTTGGGGGGCATAGAAAGAGAAACTAAGCGTTGCTTTTTTACAAAAGTTGCAGACAGGACAAGAGACACCCTTTTAGAAATTATTAAAAGTAACATTTTACCAGGATCAACTATAATAAGTGACTGTTGGAAAGCCTATGACATCTTGGATAAGGAGGGTTACGAACGTTTAAAAGTAAATGACTCCCTTAATTTTGTCGATCCGGTTACAGGGGCACATACCAATACTATAGAATCTACCTGGAGGGCACTCAAAAAATCTCTGCCAGTAAGTGGAACGACAAAATCTTTATATGATACGTACTTCAGCCAATATTGTATACGAAAGAAATATCTCAACGACTCTGCCGATCCATTTCTGAAGTTTTTTGACCTTGTAAGAACAGTCTACAATCCTAATCTGCTCGTCCTACAATTAACTACAACCAACAATCAACCCAAATCCCCCAAAAGACAACGGATTACCCTCCAGACGATCGACTTAAACAATAGTCTAGATGATTTCGTTTTGTAAGGTATGTGAAACAATTTATTTACTCTCATACTTAGAGAACTTTCCTATCTCGGCATCCGAAGCAAACATCAAAATGGCGGTTGTTTACACTCTGCTTAGCAAGGTCAAGGGAAATAACTGCTCATGCGCAATCGCGTGCTTCTGGGGACCGGCATACTAGAAACTTCCCCGTCTCTTTTTGAGTAGGTTTAACTTTTGCTCGAAACAAACAGACTTCAGCGTCTCCACATTTATTGAAAGTCAAACTCTCTACGTGTCCGTCTATAAATAACCTGTAATCTTCGCATGATTTGTAAGCCCGTAACTTCTTTTTATCATAGTCTGATGTTTTGTGTAAAAGATAATTAAAAATGTCAAATAAAGTGAATTTGGCTGGTATCTCTGTGAAATCAGACGTGAAGTTGTTGTCAACAAATGGATCTAAAATCGGTAGTTGTACCAACTTTTTCTTCAGATCAAGAGCTGTAGAGTTGCATGTAAAATCAGGATCAATTCGGTAAATTGAGTGATTTGACAGCTTCACATAGTTCAACGAGGTTATTTCTCCGTAAATTTGTCGCAGTAATACCACGCTCTGATAAATATTTCTGCATATCATTTACCTTCAGCGAAGCAAAGCAACTACTCGCCATTTGTAAACAACGAAGGAATGTCTGGTGTCACGTGATCGCGGATAATGTAATAGAGGAAACCAACGCCGGAGTTGGGTATTGGAAAACGGACTATTTACAAATAATGAACAAGTAAACATTGATGTAGCCATCAATTGTCGCCCGGGAAATATATAAAATAAACAATGGAAATGAGTCTTGATCATCAAACCGCTTTGATATGCGTGAAAAGGCATGCGTCTAATTGATGGCAACGATAGTCGTGAATATTTTGAAAACTTATAGTCGGATAAAAATCAAACGAAAACGGTACCATTTTAAACTTGATGAATTCCTCATGTAAATGTTGGCTGTATGAAATATAAATTGAAGTTAGACACATGCATCACCTATATTCAAAAATGTATTATTTTTCAATTTTAGGATATAAAACATGAACTATGCAGAGTACGTTTTTATGCGAGAAGTAAAATTCGATGTTCTAAAAGAAGGGATCTGTCGACTTTTTGATAGTAAATGATAAGAAACTTTATATATTAAATATGTAAAACCTATTTATTTTTACATATTCAGTTTATGTAAGTAAGCATATTATGTATCTCGTAATTTAGAAAGGGAAAGAACATTCTGATTAACAATCTTTTCAATGTTTAGAAAAACATTGATTCTGAATAACTTCTCCCACCCCAATCACCATACACCAACACTTAAACTTATATGTATAGAGCAGCCCGGTCCTCCGGGCTGCAATAAATAATAAACGTTTTCGGCGTAACATATATATTTGTACATAGTTTTAGATAGATTCTCTTTATACCTCTTTTGTCCTGTGAACCTATTGTGACGTCATGACTAAAAAAATGACATCATTGAAATTCTGACAATTAACGCTGAAATTATGGAAGATAGAAAAAAGAAACCGCGCTTTAGTGAAAAAGAACTTGAAATATTAGTTAAAGAAGGCTCAGATATCATCAACTCAAAATTCAGTGACATGATCAACAATACAGAGAAAAAACAAGTGTGAGTGGAAATTTTTGAATCTGTAAATGCTGTCTCATTCTCAAAAAGAACTGTCGAAGAAATTAAAAAGAAGTGGGATGATGTGAAGAGGGGTACAAAGAAGAGAGCTTCTGCCGTCCAGAAAGAAAGTTGTAAGACGGGGAGTGGAAAATTGGAGATTATACCTTTAAGCCCAATAGAAGAAGATATTGTGTCTGTAATGGGAGAGGAGAGAATTTTTGGATTCAGCCCGTATGTAGACACCATGATTCCACCTGTAAGTGAGCCCAATTTCATTCCGTCATTTATTTGCTTTAATCTAAAACAATATGTTTGTTTCAAGACTTTCAACAATTTTCTGGTATCTACTGTTCAAAAGATATGATAAAAGTAAAATCTTGGAATTTTTGTATAAAGTGGGTCAAATTTCAAGGTCAAGGTCAAAAGGTCAAATTTTGTGGTACACAAAATAAGGTCTTGTCACAAGAAATACACATGAGAAATATGAAAGGTATAGCTCCTCTAAATCAAAAGTTATGGGCAAGGTTACAGTTTTTGTGGACAAACAGACAGATAGAAGGACGGACATGACAAAAATTATATACCCCTGAAACTTCGTTTACGGAGGCATAAAAACTGCACCAAAAACTCAACCTAGGACGCCAACACCAATGGTATCACATATTAAGCTCCCCCCCCCCCACTTCATTGAGGTGAGTTAAAACAAGAGGCCCAAGGGCATTGAATCGCTCTTCTGATAAATTGTACAATCTATCACTTCTATTGAAGCCTCTAACTCTTAGTATCCCAAGATGCACGAACTGACAAAGTTTGATGATTCTTAGCCAGTTAGGGCTAAAGATATTTCAGTATGGCTATAAAATATCATAAGTATGTCACAGTGACCTACTTTTTTATTTAAATTTTCTGAGGATTCAAGATGTTTTAATTGACAAAGATTGATGATTCTAAGCGAATAAATACCCAAGATATTCAAAAGAAGGTCACTGTGACCTACTTCATGTCAACATTCTCCTAAAACCCAAGATGTCTCAACTGACAAAGTTTAACAATTCTAGGCCAGTAAGTACCCTGGATATTTTAAATATAGCCATAAAATTCTAAACTAGGTCACCGTGAATTACTTTTTGGTCGAAGTTCTCCATAAACCCAAGGTTGCATCAACTGACAAAGATAAATACCTAAGATACTTAAATATATCCATAAAATGTCAAAAGTAGGTCACAGTGACCTTCTTTTTGGATGACATTTTCCGAAATTTTATTCAAAAGTAGGTCATTGTGACCAACTTTTTAGTTGACATTCTCCGAAATTCAAATATGCCTCAACTGACAATGTTTAACAATTCTAGGCCAGTAAGTACCCGGGATACTTAAATATAGCCATAAAATTCAAAACTAGGTCACGTGACCTACTTTTAGGTCAACGTTCTCCATAAACCCAAATTGCATCAACTGACAAATTTTAATGATTCTAAGCCAATAAGTACCTAAGATACTTAAATATAGCCATAAAGCACCGTGACCTACTTTTTGGTTGACATATTCCGAAGACCCAAAATGCATCAACTGACAAAGTTTGTTGATCATAGGTCTGAAAGTATTCAAAATATGCCTTTTAAACAATTTGAAAACAGATGCCTGCAAAAAATTCAAAAGTAGGTCACAGTGACCTACTTTTTCATGAATGTGTTTCAAGGCCCTAAGATGCATCAACTTACAAGATTTGGTGATTCTAAACCTCTCAGTGTCTGAAATAAGGGGATTAGATATTTTAGAAAAGATTATCCATTCCCCTGCAAGGTGAATTTCATAATTTCAGTAACTTTTATGAATCGTTCATGAACATTCATGATGTATTCATGAATGGTTCATGACTGGTTCATAAAGATGGTTCATGAATTTTATTCATGAATATATTCATAAAATGTAGTTCATGAACAAATGATGAATATATATGAATATTGGTAATTTTCAGTTTCAAGACAGAAAAAACGTAGAGTTCAGGGTATAATTATGAATTTTCATGAAGACTAAAAAAAAAAAACGACAGAAAACATTCATTACTCTCATAATACAACTGTTGAATGCAGATGCAATTGTTGACCAAGCCCCTGCTATTATTAAAAACATGCTTTCAACAACTATCTGAAAAAATAAATCATGAAATCTCTAAACAATTAGTTTCAAATTGATAACTTATGTTCTTTCATGATTTAGATTAATCACTTATATTGATCATACTGTGCTTGAAATATCTCGCTTTTCACGACACAACTTTGATCGACCGAATTTTCTCTATCATATAACTTTACACAAGTTGTTAGAAAATGAAACATTCTAGAAAAAACTTCTTGATCTTTGTAAAAAAAAAACATATATATTTATTAACAACTAAAAAATTACATCTCTTATCTGTACTGTACCGTATTATTCTTGGGTCGAAACGTTATATATTAATTTTGATGCCTTTAAAAATCATACTTTTTCCGTGCATCGTGTGTAAATGATACTGCACAGACTGCATGGTTGTAAAGTATCTATGACATAATCCACATTCGTATTTTGTAGTCTGAATTCTTTTATACGTCTTCACAGCACAGAATACTCAGTCTGAGGGCGATGTAAGTACCGAGAGATCGTTGTTATCATGTCATGTCCTCCGGTTATGGCGGCCGCCATACTTGTCATGAAAATACGAAACTAAGATGCAATACATATATGTAATTGATGACGTAAAAAATTCGAATCTTCATTGATAAAACTTACATTGATATCAAAAATTTTATTTTCAGTGAAAATTTATTCAGATAGAGTTTGTTATTTTTTTTAAACAAAAATCTTGGAAATTCGAAACTAACGTATTTCTCAGCTCTGCCTTACATTTTTAAATAGGTGCAAACTTGAAACGCACGAGACGTTGGAAGTGTGAATTTGTATAGTGGGAGGATCGATATTTAAGTGACCTATAATTTGCGTAGTCATTCTTTGTCAACCTTTTAAGAAAATAACAGAATACAAAGAAGGAAGAATATACATTCAGAGGATCAATCTACTTCATTACTGGTGAGTTACAAAAAATGGAAGCAATCACTGAATCAGAAATCTGATTGAAAAGGTTACTGTCTATTTGTAAAAAATTATTATGTCTTTTTTTAAAATGAAAATCTTGTCAAATTTTGCTAGAGTTGGGATCCAACCATAGTAACATACATTAATTATAGATTGAGGCTCAAAACATAGGCCTGATTGATCTACAAGATGGCGGCCAAGGAAGATAGGCTTAAATTCCACTCAGAATGCTTTAATTTGGAAGTGCCTATGATGCAAAACTAAATGAAACTAAAATGCAAAAAAATACAAAAAATCTTAAATTTGTACATTCATGATCATTTTCAAAAAAATCTTTCTTCTTGAGTGGAAAAGAGAAGCAGTCCACAAATGTTGATAAGCAGAGGACACGAAACTGGCTGCAAAAAAATCTGAGCTCTTGAAAAAACAAGAGACCCAAGGGCCTTGAATCGCTCTTCTGATAAATTGTACAATCTATCAATTCTATTTAAGCCTCCTACTCTGAGTATCCTAAGACCCAAAATGCATCAACTGATCAAGTTTGATGATTCTTGGCTAGTAAGAACTGAAAATATTTCAATATAGCTAAAAAATACCATAAGTAGGTCACAGTGACCTACTTTTTGATTGAAATTTTCTGCGGACTCATGATGCATTAATTGACAAAGATTGATGATTCAATGCCAATAAGTACTTGAGATATTCAGAAGTAGGTCACTGTGACCTACTTTTTGGTAGACATTCTTGAAAAACCAAAGGTGCATCAACTGACAAAGTTTGATGATTCTAAGCCAATAAGTACCCGAGATACTTAAATATAGCCATAAAATATCTGAAGTAGGTCACCGTGACCTACTTTTTAGTCATCATTCTCAAAAAAACCCAAGATGCATCAACTGACCAAGTTCGATGATCTCTAAGTCAATAAGTACCAGAGATACTTAAATATAGCCATAAAATGTCAAAAGTAGGTCACCGTGACCTACTTTTTAGTCCTCATTCTGGAAAAACCAAGATGCATTAGCTGACGAAGTATGATGATTCTAAGCCAATAAGTACCTAAGACACTAAAATATAGTCATAAAATGTCGAAAGTAGGTCAGCATGACCTACATTTTGGTCAACGTATCCCAAGATCCAAGAAGCATCAACTGACAAAGTTTGATGAATCTAGGCCGATAAGTACCTTAGATATTCAAAAGTAGGTCACCGTGACCTACTTTTTGGTTGAAATTCTCCAAAAACCCAAGATGAATCAACTGACAAAGTTTGACCATTCTAAGTCAATAAGTACCTGAGATACTTAAATATAGCCGTAAAATGTCAAAAGTAGGTCACTGTGGCTTACTTTTTGGTCATCATTCTTCGGAAACCCAAAAAGCATCAACTGACAAAGCTTGATGATCCTTAGCCAATAAGTACCTAAGATACTAAAATACAGTCATAAAATATCGAAAGTAGGTAACCGTGACCTACATTTTTATTGACGTTTTCCGCAGACCCAAGATGCATCAACTGACAAAGTTTGATGATCATAGGCCTTAAGGTGTCCAAAATATGCCTTAAAATCAATTTGAAAACAAATGCCCGCAAAAATAATTACAAAAGTAGGTAAACATGACCTACTTTTTCAAAAATATGTTTTGAGGCTCCAAGATGCACCAACTTACAAGATTTGATGTTTTTAAACCTCTCAGTGTCTGAAATAATGGGATTAAATGTTTTTAAAAAGATAAGCCATAAAACTTAAAAGTAGGTCACGGTGACCTACTTTTAAGTTATCATTGTTGGAAGACCCAAGATGCATCAACTGACAAAGTTTGATGATCATAGGCATTATAGTGTCCAAAATATGCCTTAAGATCAATTTGAAAACCAATGCCCGCAAAATTACAAAAGTAGGTCACCGCGACCTACTTTCGAGTTTACGTGATGTGTAATCCTAAGATGCATTAACTTACAAGATTTGATGATCCTAGTCTGAATAATAAGCAAAATATAAACGTTTTTATTAAGTGTAAATTTAGGTCAACTTTGAAGTGACCTTGAGACCACGCCCTTTGCCCAAGGGTAATTCCCCGAGCAAATTTTGATTTTCAACATATCCTGATGCTTGTATGAAAGTTTGGTGAAAATCTGCTTGGTGTTATGGAGAAGAAGATTTTTCAAGAACCAGTACTTTTGGATATATTTTCCTGATTATCTCCCTTTGTTTAAGGGTCCCAACCCTAGTTTTATAATAAATAGTAGCCCTTGGGCCAAGAATACCCTGTGACAAATTTGACAATGATTGGCCAAGGGGTTCTTGAGTTATGGCCCATATTCTAAAAAGTTTACGCACAACGCACAAATGGCCATAGCATTAGCTCTTTGAGCCTTTGGCTCAGAAGAGCTAAAAAGAAAGAAATGAAAATATGAATGATATTCAATCAAAGGATCCAAATGAGAAAATTCTGGAAATTCCACATGAAGAGCGAATAAGAATTTTTGAATTGACCATCTCTGCTCGAAATGCTTGAAAGCCCTTAAAGCTGTTGCCCTGTTGCTGAACACACTTCTCTCCTAGACTGGAATTAAAAACTGTTCATTTCTGGTATAAAAACACACTTTGAAATATGCTGAGGAAGGACCCCCCCCTCTCCTCTTGACCAAGTAAGGTTAAACATTCTGCAAAGACTCACGTCTGAATTGAAATTTTTCATAATTTTACCAAGAATGAACTACATAATTCATTAATTATGATTTATTAGAATTGTCTATTTTAACAAAGATTTTTTTGCCATGGTTGGAAAACAAACAAAAATTCTGTGAAATCTTTAAAGATGTTGTGTCATAAAACATATTCTGTTACTGTTTTTTGCATGACTTCATGCATTTTCATGAATAAACGTGAATAATAATATTGCATTTTTTGTTTACAAATAAGAATATTCATGAATATTTCATGAATTTTATTCATTCATGAACATTCCTGAAAAAATTTTACAAATCATTCATGAACAGTTCATGAAGATCCAATGAACTTATTATTTGACAATTCTTGAAATGATGAATCTTCATGAATATGACTCTTCATGAATACTTCATAAAAAAAAATATTCATGAATATTCATCAATTTTCTTTCATGAATAAAAATTCATGATTTGAAAATGTCCAATAATAAGTTCATAGGATCTTCATGAACATTTCATGAATAAAATTCATGAAAAATTCAAGGAAAATCATGAATTATTCAATTAGTCCATGATCATCTCCCAGGGGTAAAATTAAAAAAATAGCTCACGGTGACCTACTTTTAAGTTGACGTTGTTCTAGGACCCAAGATGCATCAAATCAAAGGTCTTAAAGTGTCCAAAATATGCCTCCAAATCAATTTGAAAACGAAAGCCCGTAAAATTTAAAAAGAAGGTCACGGTGACCTACTTTTGTGTTAACATGATGTGAAGTCCTAAGATGCATCAACTTACAAGATTTGATGATCCTAGTCTTTATAGTAAGCAAAATAACAATGTTTTTATTAATTTTAAATTTTGGTCAGCTTTGAAGTGACCTTGAGACCATGCCCTTTGCCCCAGGGTCATGCCTTGAACAATTTTTAACCTTCAACATATCCTGACCCTTGTATGTAAGTTTGGTGAATATCTGCCTGGTGGTTCTGGAGAAGAGGATGTTTTAAGAACCGGTACTTTTGGATTTATTTTCCTGATTATATCCCCTTGTTTTAGGATCCCGCCCTTATTTTAGTATAAATGGTAGCCCTTGGGCCAAAGATACCCCAAGACAAATTTGATTGACCAAGGGGTTCTTAAGTTATGGCCCATATTCTAAAAAGTTTACGCACACCGTACACCGCACGACGCACACCGCACAAATTGCCATAGCATTAGCTCTTTGAGCCTTTGGCCCAGAAGAGCTAAAAAATTGGAAAGTGTGTTTGGTGATCACTAAATTTTTGCAACACCCTATTTTTTGAGGTAGACATTACATCTTTATACAAAATATTGAAAAATCATGGTTACTTCTCTGAGTAATCTACTCAAGAATGATGAACTCATTTTCTTGTGTACTAAAGCGAAAACTTTTAAGTTCTCCCAAATGAAAAGTGAATTATTGGAAACTTGTCAATGTCAGGTTTCTTGGAGGTGGATTTTGGTAAAAAAAAATTCCAAGTCTGACTTCAATGCAAGTCTACAACAAGGGGCCCATGGGCCACATCGCTCACTTTAGCACATTGGCTAGGAAAAAAGAACAAATCAGTTTAGTATTGAAAGGTTAAAGGTGCATGGACACAGATTTGAAGTTAATATTTTCTGTATAATTTCACGACTTATATATATATTTGAATAGCATTTCACACAAAAATAAATCAAAATTCTTATGTCATCTAAAAGTTACAAAAGCTTCAAATTTTTGGATGGGTTTGATTGACACATCCTTGCACTCTCACAAATTTTACTTTTATTCTTAATACTTAGGAAAAATGGCCATCTTGTAGTGTATGAATGAAAAATATTAAAACTTTAATCCAGAAAAATAATTATATTCAGAGTAGAAA